CCACGGGGCCACATGAGAAACAGGAAATACTGTGGAGGCCCCCCCCGTTGAGGTAACCCTAGGGTATAGTATTTTGACCCCGGGGGCTATTATGGTATGTTGACCCCCTATAGAATATTGACCCCCCTATGAAAATCTATATTTTATTAATAAAGAACTTGAATTCTATAGAAAAACTTTGAATATTAATACTATATCTGCAAATTAAAACATATTGACATATTTAAAAGTGTTTTTTGAACAACTCAGGTGCATTTTTTATGTCGATTATAACTTTTGAATGTTAAAAATGACTTAGTTGTTTAAACATATTTGACAGAAAATGAGAGAAGTAGTTATTAATGAGTTTGGTAATCAAAGTGATGTATAATAATTTGGAATCTTGTTCAAATAGACAGAGATGATCAATTGAGAAATTAAATAGGGGATATGAGAAGATTTAATAACACAACGTTACTAAATTCAAGGTCATTATTCTTACAAACCATTGCCTAAACTGACATTATGATTAAAGATGATCTGAACAGAGCAAACTAAAAACTATAACAATGTAAAATACAATATAAAAAGTGACAAGATTGCTCTGTCTATGCAATTTTAACAATACATACATTTACACAAAATACCAAGTCGGTCTCCATCAAAACATTCCTTAAAATACCTTCAAAGAAAGTGAATAAGATAAGTAACTACTACAGAAAAAAGTAAGAGGAGTCAAAATCCTACGCTGTGTTCACCTCGGGGTCAATGTACTATGGGGGTCAACATACTATCTCACACCGGACATAATGCTCAATTCTGCATAATATGAATAGTGTTTCTTTATAAAAAGCAGTAAATATCATTGTTTTGACGGGTTGCTCAGTCTATGTTCTGTTTATGTTCTGATTAAGCAATGAAAAAGTGAAAGTGCAGAGTAAAACATGTCCTCTTTAGTCCATGCATGAGGTAAAATGATCAAATCTGTGATGTAGCAACGACTGGGCAGCTCATATCTGGGCTCTAGAACATCTATAAGACGCTGAAACCCAAAATCATCGACGACTGAAAGTGACTGGTCGTCCAGCGCAATGTAGTGGGTAAATGCTTTGGTTATTTTTGTTGCCTGAGTCTTTGGACATTTTCTCTGGCTTCTTGAAAACGTCAGTTAAAGTTGGCTGTTGACGGCTCGTGCTGCTTTGGTGAACTCGTCGTACTTATCACTGGGCTGTGTCTTCAAATGTTTGATTCATTTGCTCATATTAGATGAGGTGTTTTCCCTTCCACCTCTCCACAACTTGGCACTACATCATTTACAATCTGCCTTAGTCCTGTCGTCCTCCCTAATACTAAAATACTTCCAAACTGCCAAAGACGTCACTGATCATTATTTGCACATATGACGAGGTTTGTCTTCTGACTCTTTGTCTTCCCCTGGACACTGAAGTTTGGTAGAACAACAAATGGCCTCCTGAACATGTCCAGTGATGTTGTGTAGTGTTGTGTAATAGTGGTATCCGTGTGTGGTATCACAAATGTTTAATGAGTATGAGTACGAGTATATTAAGGAAGTATTGGGTTGACACCTGATGGGAGTCCTGCAGGTTGGGTACCTGATGGGTACGGGAAAATAGTTGCTGAAATGGGTGGGTTTTAACTTTCTGGAATTTTACGGGCAGGAACGCAGGCGGGTAGTGATTAGACGTGGGAAGGTCAGAACTAAATCAGGACTAAACCAGGACACCAGGACTAATCTTGGACTTAAGAGCGAGAGAGAACCATGAGCCCATGGAGCAGTGTCCGCAAAGTGCGATCTGGCGACGACTGCTCTTACCTCCATCCTCTTGCCCGTGGTCACCCAACGGTCTACACGGGTGTACCTCCGGACCTGTCTCGACAGTGAGTCCTGGTTCAGTTCTGGGTTAGTCCTGGTTCAGTCCGTGGCGTGTTTCTTTTGCTAATGCTGGTGAAGTGATGACAGTCGAGTCGTGTCTGTGAATCCGTGTCCGTACTGAAGAAAGTGTAAACATTTCATTTCATTTTGTGATTGTAATTCTTGAAGTCGTAACTTTTCAATTCATATTCTGATGGATGCTTCAGTTAGAATGCTTTTAATCTGTGTGTGATTTATCACGGGCACAGGCGGGTAACAGGTGGAATGTTAACGGGTCCAGGGGGGTGCGGGTTTAACTTTGATAAAATCATGGGTTAACGGGCCAAGGGTGCAGGTGGGTGCAGATTTCACTAGCACCCTTAGTGCTTTCAGTTTGCATCATACCCTCAGGGAATGTTGACGACATCAGCTGCAAAGTATCACTGGTTGAGTTTTCATGTGCACTTGCATTTGAATCCTCGTTCAGTCCCGTTGGAGAGTCTGGGTTAGTCCTGGTACGTTCTTGCTTTTTCTATAACACTTAATATTAAGCAGTAACAAGAGTACAACTACACTGACAGCTTCTTCCATACCTCCCTCCATCCCTCTCCTCCATCCATCGATCGGCCATGGCTGGGCACATGAAACACTTCTGCAATGATTTATGGGATGTCATTTTCACGGCGACCGCCAAAGCCCCGCCCCTGTGTCATTTCCGAGTCCGCCCCCCGGGTCGGAGCCAGCTCCCTCGGGTAGTACACTTCAGTCTAATGCAATAATAATTACATTTATACTGTGATTTCATTGTGTTTTATGCATTTATTGATACACGGGCGCCATTTTGTGTCTTGGAATAAATATTGAAGCACTTAAGGCTTTAAAGGGATGATGTAATGGAGTGTTAAAGGAGCTGTACATCTTTGGACCAATAGTTATGAAATAGTTACTGTTATTAATAGTTGGTTTATAAAGGGGCTATACAAGATTTTTTATTTTTTACTTATTTATTTTCTTCATGTAATAATGTTTTTTGTTTGTTTTTTCCCCCCCATCCATATATAGTGTAAAAGTGGGTCAAAATGAACCTGCTGTGTATTGTATCTATCTATTTTGACCACATTATACTGTTCCTCATCAGAAACAATCCTGTTTGTTGTGTTTTGTGTCATTCACTTGTTTCATTAAACCACTAATCCAAAACTGTCATCTCTGAGCACTCAAAAATGCACCATTTGCATTTTGCCTGGATTGTTGTGTCACAGGTAAAAATCTGGGCCTCTCCTACATTGTTTTTTAGCCCATAAACCATCTCCAGACTTTTTACACTGTCAAACTGTCTTCATAAAAAACACATGTCTCTGTGTCTCTGTTCGCGGGATGAGGACTTGTTTACTTGATTGTTCATTCCCGTTGCTGACAGCAGAGGGCGCTCCAAGGCCTAAATCCCTCACTGGAAATGGAAGTGCAGTTTATAAAGTGTCTTTGTCACAGAAAAGACATTTTCACAACAGAAGTGCCACGACGTGGGGTAAGCGTCACTTCCGGTTAATGCTTTTATATGGCAAAATATCTGTGTAAAGTCTTATGTATTTTCCACCACCTTTATAAATCCTAAACCCAACCCATCAGCAAATCTTCAACCAACAAAGTCCACGAAGGATAAACATTCTTCGGTGAACTATTTATTCACAACTATCAAGGGAAGAAAGATGGAAACTTAAAGCAAAACAATGACCACACATTAGTGACACACTGAACTAAACTAATGTTATGGTCATGAACAAAACAGAAGGAACTTTATCACTCAAACTGATTCTGCAATTCAAATTAAAAATCGATTTCATGATGTAGATATTTGCATAGACAGGTAGATTTGTTCAGTTTGAATGCAAGACATGTAATCTGTGAACATGTGTAGCATTTGAACTGCACCACTCTATCTGTCTATACTAATATCAACATCATGAAATAGATTTTTTATTTTAATTGTAGAATCAGTCTGCGTGAACAAGTTACTTATTAATGAATTACCTATTACTTCTGTTTTATTCATGACCATAATGATAGTTTTGTTCAGTAGTTCATTAATGCTTTGCCGTTGGTTGTTCTCCTTTAATCTTTCGTCTTTCTTCTCTTGATAGTTGTGGATAAATTCTTCATGTTAGAATGTTTATACTTTGTGGACCTTGTTGGTTGAAGATTTGGTGATGGGGCAGATTTATGAAGCTGGTGGAGAATACGACACACATTTACACACATATTTTGCGACAGAAAACCATTAATTGGTTGGAGAAATGACGTTTACCCTACACTTGTGAAAAAGATCTAATGAATAGTCAGGTTTTGTTTTATTATTTTACACAGCTTATAAGTGTATTACACATTTAAATGTATTGTTTGTGTAAGCGCCATTTCATAAGGTTTACACATTTGCATAAATAATCAACAATTCATAACAACTCATTTGTATTTTTGTTTCAGTACATGATTTATATGTTTAATTCAAAAGAAAGAAAATTGATACATGATTTGAACATTTGGGGGTGAACTAGTGCCTCTCTGTTGTATTCTCGTGTGTGAACATGTGAAGAAATGCTGTTCTTGAACTTGTTAACAATAAAGAAAAGAGATGGCTGGTCGTTTCACTGTGCTGCAAAGACATCAAGTTGTAAACGCATAAGACAGGCTCATTAGTCATCTTTCTTTGTGCAGAGGTTAAGTTAGTGACAAGGAGAAAACGAGTCAAAGATTAGCCTTTACACTTTGTTTTATAGTTATCTATTGTCTGCTAGCTGAGCCATATTGAGAAGTTTGGAATAGTAAATGTGCGTACTGGGACTTACTCGTGAAAAGATGATCACTTTCTCCCTGACTTTGTTTTAAAATGCTCAGAAATAAAGTATGATCTCCAACAGAAAAGGACTTGTCATATCCAAAAGATAAGCCAATATAGCTACAGAAATGTGGCACAAGAAGCAGAGGAGAAAATGTGACTAGCTCCATTTAAATTAGGACTGTCAAAAGTAACGCAAATCTGATATGAATCAATACTCAGCCTATTATCAAACTAGATACTCATTTAAGCTGGAATTAATACTAAATAAACTTGTATATAGCTTTCACTTTTCTACAGAAATCAACTTTTTACTTTTGGTGGAGGGTCTGTGAGCTGCTTCTCTTGCCTGCAACGGTCCACGTCATAGCATTGCACTTTTTTTTTTTTTTTTTTTTTAAATCTCTATGAACATCACATGGCCTAGATACAAGTCAAATCTGTGGAGAGGTGAGCCCACTCACAGTCAATTCACTCAAGAATGCAAGTTTAGATCAATAAAAAACCCAAGTTATTGAGTAAATGCAAGATGGAGACGTATAATGCCATGCCAGAACATTCCAGACAAAGGAACAACATCTCCATGGAGACGGGCAGATGGCGGACCCTCCACCAGAAACGTTACACACTGCAATTTTAATGTGGGAACGGATTACCCACAAACGCCTCATATCACCGCTCGCTAATTCCTTAAGCGTTCATTAAGATGCTATAAGTACACAGCACCGAATGTTAGTATGCAGGCGACGATACGCTACATGACCTAGTTTCCCACCTCCAAAACCTGGCTGGATTTAAAATAAAGTGGCTGGAAAATAAAGTGGGATTGGAGAAAGATGTGAGCGTGATTATGCATTCTGTGTGGTGGTGGTCCTGAAAGGAGCTCGGAGCAGCCCGGGGAGGACAGAGAAGAATTTAAAAGCCGAATTTGATTTTCCGAAGAGCGGAGACAATGAAGCGATCAACGCATTTTAACGACTCTGTTTTCAATTTGCCACGCTTCCCACCGTCTTTAGTCTAATTGTTTTTTAAAGGATTCTCCAAAGGTAATGTAGGTTTAAAAAAAGCACTGTCCCTTTGTAAGTACGGAATCATTAGTTAGAAGCTGTATAAGTGGTAAATGATCATAACATGTTCAAATTAAATATCAAATGCACTTTTTTCAAATTATAATGTTGACTGATTCACACAGTTGAAAGTAAATATGTTATTGTTACTTTAGATACATACTTTTGTTAGGTAGTGATCAGTCTCCGTTTTCAATTCAGTTTCTTTCTTTAACAGTTGGTAGAAATATAAAATTTCACGTCTACAGCCCTATTCACATGGGATTAGTTTGTCCCGTGAAAACTGTAGTAATTATGACATCTGTGTTTCTAGTCCTGTGTAAATCATCCATGTCTGTAAAAATGTCTGTGAAAAAGTCTCTCAAATTGTGTCTCTTGTAATTCTGCAAACTCAGAGCTCCTCAGGTGATCCTAGTCAAACTAAGAGCTCTTCAGGTGAATCTAGTGAAACTCAGAGCTTCTCAGGTGAATCAAGTCAAACTCAGAGCTCTTCAGGTGAATCTAGTCAAACTCAGAGCTCCTCAGGTGAGTCTTGTGAAACTCAGAGCTCCTTGGGTGATTCAAGTCAAACTCAGAGCTTTCAGGTGAATCTAGAGAACTCAGAGTTCCTCAGGCAATTCTATAGAAACTCAGAGTAATTCTAGTGAAACTCAGAGCTCTTCAGGTGAGTCTAGTCAGGCTCAGCAAAAAATCAGTGTTTGACACTACAGAGCAGGAGCATTCTGCTAAAAACAAATGTAAAATAAAAGCAACGTTGGCGACATGATGAATGAAAAGGTTGTTGTAAAAGGTTGTTGTTTTGTTTCAGTGTCTTTTTAGGATAAAGTCTGTAAAAACAGGTTTAGTGACATCACTTATCCCTTGTGAATGTACACAAAAAAGGCAGAGGTTGTGGGGAATTTCAATTTTACAGATGTCCCTTGGTAAAACTAATCCTGTGCAAATAGGGATTATGAATGTGTATGTACCTGAGTCCCATTTAACACACACACATCTGTGCAACCTTGTTTCCATGGAGATGCCATTGTTTTAATTGGAATGGAATTAAACATATCACATGACCTGTAACTTGGCCTGGTGCTCCATGCACTTCCTTGTCTCTATGTAGATAAATAAGTTTAATGCCAGGCTGTGAAACATTGTAGGCAAAGCAAGAACATTTCCATGATAAGACCTTAATATGGCACGGGCACTTCCAAAATGAAAACACCAACATTCACTACACTTAAATTGTCAAAGAATGATTCAAAGATGGAGGCATCCTATTCACACATGGATAAAAGATGATATTTTGAGGACTTTTAACCATTCTAATATTTTGTTTTACAGTGTTAATCACTATGACAACGGCCCACATTTTTCATCAGTCTGATACACTTCCTCGATACGGATATTTTTCAGCTCATAAAGTACACTAAAACAATAGCACGTCCAGTCAGGGCTGTATCTGACAGTTTAGGAAATAGTTTTGGTTCTCTGAGAGGGAGAAAATCGTGGTGGAGTGACAGTGTGAAATGAGTTCTGGTTTGATATATAGAAGAAGAAGAAGAGGAGGAGGAGGAAGAGAGCCGCAGGGCCAGAAGAAGTCCAACACTAACAATGTACACTGTAAAAAGTCCTCTACTAACGTTGTACACAGTAGTAAGTTCAGTACTAACACTGTGTACAGTAAAAAGTCCAAAATTAACACTGTGCACTGTAAAAAGTACAGTACTAACACTATACACAGTAAAAGTCTCCTATTAACACTGTACACAGAAAAAAGTCCAATAATAACACTGTGCTCTGCAAAAAGTCCTCTACTAACTGTACACTGTAAAAGTCTTCTGTTAAGACTGTGCACAGTAAAAGATCACTAACACTGTGCTGTAAAAAGTTCACAACTAAAACTAAACAGAAGATATTATACAACTAGGTCATGTGAAGAGATCGAGCCAGGTTTTGCTGACAATGAGAAATAATTTTCGACGTTTAAAAAGCTACAAGGAATACCCATGTCATGGTACACAAAAAAGTAGTTCAAAGTACATGAGTATTGTGGATTAAACTAGAGCATTTCTATTGAAGTGTATAAAACAAACCTTCTGAAAGAGACCAGAAAATACTGCATGGGAAGAGCAACTTGAACTATCTGAAAAGTGTGGTATCATTTCTTTTCCACATAAGCCCTTGAATTCTCAGTCAAATGTGCATCAGTGTAGCTCTGGTTATTTATCTGTCTCTATTTGAGCTGTTTAAAAGACTCATTTTGACAGATGTAGAAGTTTGCAGACTTTTTCAAAAATATACAATTGATACTTTGCAGTGACATCACACAGGTGGTGTTCTACATGGATGTGTATGGTAGGATGTTCAGCAGTCACCATGGTGACACAATGCACACATTAGCAAACACTGTTGATTTTTTAAAAAGGTAATCTGAAAAAATACAAACTGGATTTTAAAATCACTTTCTCAGGAGCCTGTGATCAGTGCAAGTGTTCATGGTCCCATTTAAGTGTTTGAGATTCAACTAAAAAGGTGAACAAATTGAAAACATGCTGGCTAATGCTAGCTAGCTTGTGACTGCAATGTATTTATTTGTAAAAGAATGAACTTTCTTGTACTAAGTCTAAGAAAACCTCTGACAGATTAATATTTACAGTCAGCATCACCACCCCGAGGAATGATGTTGACATCAGCTGCAAAGTATCAACAGGATCAGGACAGGAATACATTTAGTTACATAAAAATATGTATAAAAAAATGATACTTTGACTAAACACAAACTAAAAGTTCTCATTTTGGGAGTTCAGTCAGAGCAGACCTCCCTGGACCTGTGTTTGAAAAAAGTGAAAATTGTGTTCAGTGTGAATGAATGAGCTCACCTGCCTAGACTTTAATATCCTACAGTGTGCAGTACCCATGGATGGAACCAAAGAATTGTGGGTAAGGGGTAGACATTAGAAGTTAAAGAGTAAACTACTCAATAGAGCAAACTAAAGAGCTATATCTGGCCTCAAACCATTCAAAAAGATATCAGTGGTTGAGAATCTAAAGGGCAAAACTGACGAAGGAATCCATGGAGAAATACTGGAAATACATGTACAATACAACACAATATATTACAAAAACATAAAGGACTTCCATCTGACAAAGATTTACAATTTTTACTTACTGAACTTGAAAAATATTTTACTAATTCAAATTTGAAAAAGTTAAAAAATGTGCTGCAAGAACATAGTCATTGAAAATGGAACACACCCTTTAGATTCCCAGTACACAGAAAAAGTACAAATCTACAAGAGTAAAAAAAAAAAAAAAAAAAAAATCACTTGAAATCAGAATATGATCAAAATATATTTTGAGTCTAGTAGTTTTGATCAATTTGGAATTATCGATTTTTTTCCTGGTAACATTTGTGTGTGTGTGTGTGCTTCAAGACAAAAATGCTTTAGTAAACAAATACTGTGGGATCACAAAAAAACAAAAAGCAAAAAAAAAAAAAAAAAAAAACATGTTTTTTTATTTAAAGATGTTTGAGCTTTACCACAGAGATTGGCAATTGAAGATGTGAAATGATCTAAATGAGTCTAGTGAAGTCTAAAAACACACTGGAGCACTTCCTGTGTTACCATATGACATCACAAGGTGGAGTGTTTTTCTTTTGAGAGAATAATTCATGGTAAATCTGCAGGGTTTGTGTGTTAAACATGTGTGAATCATAGACTGTATAAAGAAGTGGACTAAGCAAGTGTGACGTCGCCCACAGCTTTGGCTCCAGTCAAATGAAGCTCATCGATGCTCATGGTTACAGGGTGAATTTGGCTCTTTATTATGAATAGGAATTTTTTAAAGAACAAAATCGTAATATAAACACACCAGCAGTTACAGAGAGAGGAAACACTATATTCCAATGGAAGTCAATAGGAGCCAGAGTCAGAAGGAGCTGGTGTCCTGTTGATTTGAGCTCCCTAGCTCTAGTGCACATGTGTACGACCCACAAGCACTGTTACACTTTAAATGTCGTCAATTTGAGCTCCTGAGGCAGAAGTGGAGCAACAAATAACATTTTAAATGTATGTTTATTGTATGTGTTGACCAGTTAAGCGTCGACATGTGGGTGTTAGATTTGTGGCAGAAAACCTTTGTTAGATGATTGAATAGTTTGGATTTAATATTTGATTTTAGCGTTATCATTTTCATTAAATGATATTTTGTTTTGTTTCCATGTGTAGAAAATGTTGTAAGTTTTTTTTTTTTTTTTTTTGAAAGGCGCTGTATAAATAAAATATCACTATATTATAATAGGAAATCCGCACTGTAGCCTGTCATACTATAATATAATAATATAATCTGAAGATTTCAGTTTTTCCAGTATTGTCTTCCTCTTATAGAGTATAGGAGCCTTATATGATTGAATGATCCAATTTGATTGATCAGGGCCTGTTAGAACGAACTACCTCTGCTCAAATTCATCTAAATGGGTGAATAATGGTGATTCTACAGTGGAAGCATTACTCAGTGGTTTAATTGTCCTGTCGATATGTGCTCCTTTTAGTCGGAGCCTATTTGAGCAGAATGCGACTGTCCAAATGAACTACATATGCATATTCATATAAATTAGTTTAGATTTGACATACCTAAGATATAAAGTGTGATCACCGTGTGCAAACAGCATCAAACCCACTGTGTCTAACCCAAAGAAATATGTGACAAACTGGAGAGGTCAGGGGTTAGAGGTCAGGGTCAGGGTTTGGCTTCGTTGGATCTACACAGTTGTAAATGTAAGGCTAAAAAAGTAAGGTGGCTTATTTCGACGAGGTAGTGTGAATCGATAGACGTCACTGGCCATTTAGGCTGCTGGAAGCTCATTTCAACAGAACACCAGAAAAGCTCATTAGCTCTGTCCATTTATATATACAGTCTATTGTGTGAATGAAAAAAAAAAACAAAACTTTGGGTATGTTTATGACATTATAACACAGATCTGAATATGTGCCTATTAACTTATCAATCTATTAATGCAAGGAACGTCTGTGTGTTTGTTTGTCTGTTTCATGCATAACTCTCGAACCTCTCATCCGGCCAGTCTCAAATTTGGAGGGTGTTCTCGTAATGGGGCAGGTCTGTCGAGCACCAATTTTCATGTTGTTAGGGCAAAAAATGCCAAAGATCTTGTAAAATGAGTGATATCTATCTATTAATACACAGACTAGTTTAGAACGAGGCAAACACAGAAGGGGGCGCTCCACTGTCAAAAGGCTCGAACAGAAGACAGTAGAACCCCCTCCTGTTAAAAAATGTCTGCCTGATAAAAACGACCAAAAACAAGCTTCTGAATTCAAGTGATTTTAACCTGTGAAATAACAGAAAGTCATTTCCAACCCTCCTGCCGCTACATGGTACTCACCGTCCTCCGTGGGCACGTACACGTTCAGGTACAGACAGTCTTCGCTCTGGTTCTGAATGTAGCTCGCCGCCACGTCCAGGTTATCGGTGAACCACACCGGGAGCATGATCTCCGGCAGCACCCCGTGGACGTTCTGCGGGCACACGGGCGCAAACTGGGTGGCGTTCCTTATCTCCTGCCAAGACCCGGGCGCTTCCGGAGGTTGGAAGCGCCTGTCGCCTATGGGTGCCGTAGCATAAGGGACGCCAAGGTACTGCTCCACGGGGCCCAGGATCTCGTTGTTCAGGTCCTTCTTGATGCCGCGGATCTTGCCGTAGTTGGTGGTTACGACCGGGTGCTTGGATGGGTCTGGTTTCTGGGCGCTCGCTAGGTGGAGGATTAGCGCAGCGCCCAGAAGGAACAGGAAGTGGTTTGTTGTTGATGTCGTTGTTAGCGACAGGGGGCGTGTCCTTGAAGGTAAGCCCCGCCTACTGGGTTTACTCGTAGGGCAGTGTAGCGGGTACATGTTGGGTTTGAGTTGGGTCGGTTTAAATTTTGAGGGAGCGATAATCCGATGAAGAAGAAGAAAAAGAAAATTTGTTTTTTATGTGATTCAAAGTTTGAAAAATGTTGTTAGCAATATAAAAATACAAAAAAGTTTAAATCAAAGTGATGCAAGCTGCTCTTCTGTTGCGTTCCATTACTGTTGGTGTCCTCGAAGTAGCATCGTTTGGCTGTGAAGAAAAGAAGGAGGGAGGGAGGAGAAAGAACAGAGAGATTAGAGCGTTGTTCAAACTGAATATATTCTATTAAATGATGACAGTGGAGGGCGAGCGGGGATACTGTCAGGAGTGATATAACACAGAAGATAAGATGCTATTTAAAAACAGAGGTGGGTAGAGAAGCCAAAAATGTTCTCAAGTAAGAGTACTGCTACATCATAATAGTATTTGTCAAGCAACAGTACAAAGACGTGGTCCAAGAAATGAGCTGTGTAAGAGTAAAAGATTTGGCTGCATCGATTCAGCTTTTTCAGTTCCGATACCGATTTCAGTTTGTCCTCACGAAGACATCACGTGTGTCGAAACACATTCGTTTGTCTCATGTCATTATTAAAGGACTTTCAGAGTTGCCACTGTTTTTCACTGACAAAATTTCAAAACTTTTCCATTACTTTTTCATGACCTAAACTGAATTTTCCATGAGTTTACAGCACCTGCATGTGTAGAATTGATCAGACTTTTAGGGTTAAATATGAAATGTTAACTCTTTCCACTCACCTTATGGTTTGGGATTAAAGTTTTTTAACATTCAAAATCCTGTCAGTGCATTTATTGTCGTCTCTTTTAAACAAAAGGCGCAGACGTTCATAAATAATCAGAATAGTTTAATGAGAACGTAACAGAACGCTGGACTAAAATACCAACGCTTTTCCAAAACTTTCATTGGATTTAGAATTAAAATGACATTTTCAATTTCCATGACTTTTCCAGGATTTCCATGACCACGGGAACCGTTGACTTTTTGACCACTTTTTACTTTATCACACTGAGTTCTTACATTACATTGGTCATCTTCACTTCACTATATGTTAGCTTTTGAACCTCGTCCTTGAGGAGCACCTGTTCTGGACTTTTACTAAGAGACCCACTTCCTTTGTGTTTTTATACCAATTTCAGTCATTTTAAGTATTTGCCAGAACAGAGACTGATTACAGCAAATGATGAAACGAGGACAGCAGCAGGTTCACTTGATGCAGAAGCTCAGCTCTTTGAATGTGTCATCTGACATTTTAAATCATTTTTATCATTCCTTTATCGAACATTTGTTGAGGTTTTCTTTTATTTGTTGGTTTTATGGGTTATCTGTGAAAGATAAGAACAGTCTGAACCAGATAGTAACAGTGTGCGGCTAAATCAGTGGAGGATTTGGTCACACAGAGACACAGAGTGCTCCAAAAGACTAAGGCCACACTGAGCCTAACCACGTACGGCGCTCACAGTTTGTACAAATGTCCTCTGGGAGACGATGTGTCAAACCACAACAAAAGACCAACAGCTACGCTCAATCTTTTATTCCTTCTGCCATAAAATTTTTTAATGGAAAATAAGTTTACTATAGTGTCCCCTGATGCACTAAGGTTTGAATATACAGCGTGTGTTGTATGTACTTGAATTTTCATTTTATTTATTTATGGATTGTGCATGACCAGAGATGTGCGAACTGAATTGCCGCTTGGGATTAATAAAGTTGTCGATTGATTGTTTGATTTAAACAAAAATCCTCCTTTGTTTAAACAAAAATGATCCAAAAGAGTTATGTACCTGTCATTTATTTCTGAAGTAACTAGTGAACTTCAAAATTCAAACATTATGAGACTTTCTGGGCCAACTACAACCAAGACCTGACCTGGGGTAGACCAACGGAAGTGAAGATGCCAATCTGAGCCCAAGCTGCTTCTCTTCTGAGATACAGTAACAGTCCAAAAAAATGAACAAACTGAATTATGTCTGAAGGAGCAAGAAACATGAATGTTTTATTGTTTCATACTGATGGTCGCTGAAAGTATTAGACAAACCCAGAACTTAACCAGAACTAAACCAGGACTAAACCAGGACTAAACTAGGACTAAACTAGGACTAAACTAGGACTAAACCAGGACTAAACCAGGACTAAACTAGGACTAAAACCAGAACTAAACTAGGACTAAACCAGAACTAAACCAGGACTAAACTAGGACTAAACCAGGACTAAACTAGGACTAAACCAGGACTAAACTAGGACTAAACCAGAACTAAACTAGGACTAAACTAGGATTAAACCAGGACTAAACCAGGACTAGGACTAAACCAGGACTAAACTAGGACTAAACCAGAACTAAAGTAGGACTAAAGCAGGACTAAACCAGGACTAAACTAGGACTAAACCAGGTCTAAACCAGGACTAGACCAGGACTAAACCAGGACTAAACCAGGACTAGACCAGAACTAAACCAGGGCCAGACAAGGACTAAACCAGAACTAAACCAGGACTAGACCAGAACTAAATCAGAACTAAACCAGGACTAGACCAGGACTAAACCAGGACAAGACCAGAACTAAATCAGAACTAAACCAGGACTAGACCAGGACTAAACTAGGAATAGACCAAAACTAAACCAGGACTAGACTAGGATGAAACAAGGATTAGACTAGGTCTAAACCGGGACTAGACCAGGACTAAACCAGTACTAAACCATGACTAGACCAGAACTAAACCAGGACTAAACCAGAACTAAACCATGACTAGACCAGAACTAAACCAGGACTAAATCAGGACTAAACTAAGACTAAACTAGGACTAGACCAAGACTAAACCAGGACTAAACTAGGACTAGATCAGAACTAAACCAGGACTAGACCAGAACTGAACCAGCCTCCATCAGGTCTTCCCAGGGTCCAAACCAGGACAAGTGAACTTCGCCTCCAGAGTTGTGTGGAACATTTCTTCACAGTCTGGTCTCATGAAGCTTTTATGAGCCCAAACAACATTAATATTCTGTTACGCATTAAAAACATATTGATTTAATTGCTGGAGAATATTAAATTAAAGAAATCCTCCAAGTCGTAAAACTTCCATGAAATGTAAACTATCAAAATGAAATCCGTCCTCAAAAACTCCCAAAGAAATTCATGAAAACACAGTCGAAACGTTACCCACCCGACAGTTACCCGCGCGGGGATTAGGGCGAGCTTTTGCCTGCCCGCAGAGGTCACAGGTCAGCGTGCGTTTAAGCGGCTTACAGGGTCATGCTAGCTAGCGGCGCGCGATGCTAGCGGCGCGTAGAGTAACAGTAGCGGATGTGGGCTAAGTCGCTAACAGTTCATTCATGTAATCTGGAGCTAAAGCCTTCACTTACAAACCCATTGTGCAACCGAGACCGAGGATTACGCTCCACGGGTCTTCATTCAACAGACAGGACGGAAAGCTCCACTGCGGGACTTTATTTCAAACTAAGGTGACCGCATGTTCAAATATTCTAAACTGGGGCACACTCGGGTTGGGATGTTTGGGGTAAATAAAATTGTGAACAAAAGCGTGGGACATTTTTGGGTCAGTCATAATCTGAGGAACTTTTTTTTTTTTTTGCTTTATGGTCGTTCGCGAACACGTTTTTCTGGATTTTGGCCAAACAAATGACAATTTATGTTGGCAGGGATCAGATTAGTCAAGAATTGTGGTATTCTCATATTAGTCCTGGTTTAGATCTGGTGTAGTAATGGTTTAGTCCTGACGTAGTCATTTTTTAGTCCTGCTTTAGACCTGATGTAGTAATGGTTTAGTCCTGATGTAGTAATGGTTTAGTCCTAGTTTAGTCCTGATGTAGTAATGGTTTAGTCCTGATATAGTAATGGTTCAGTCCTGATATAGTAATGGTTCAGTCCTGATATAGACCTGATGTAGTAATGGTTTAGTCCTGATGTAGTAATGGTTTAGTCCTGGTTTAGTCCCGATGTAGTAATGGTTTAGTCCTGGTTTAGTCCTAATGTAGTAATGGTTTAGTCTTGGTTTAGACCTGATGTAGCCCTGGTGTAGACCTAGTTTAGACCTGGTGTAGTAATGGTTTAGTCCTGGTTTAGACCTGGTGTAGTCCTGGTTTAGACCTGATGTAGTAATGGTTTAGTCTTGGTTTAGACCTGATGTAGTAATGGTTTAGTCCTGGTTTAGACCTGGTGTAGTAATGGTTTAGTCTTGGTTTAGACCTGATGTAGTCCTGGTGTAGACCTAGTTTAGACCTGGTGTAGTCCTGGTTTAGACCTGATGTAGTAATGGTTTAGTCTTGGTTTAGACCTGGTGTAGTAATGGTTTAGTCCTGGTTTAGACCTGGTTTAGTCCTGGTTTAGTCCTGATGTAGTAATGGTTTAGTCCTGGTTTAGACCTGGTTTAGTCCTGATGTAGTAATGGTTTAGTCCTGGTTTAGACCTGGTGTAGTCCTGGTTTAGACCTGATGTAGTAATGGTTTAGTCCTGGTTTAGACCTGGTTTAGTCCTGATGTAGTAATGGTTTAGTCCTGGTTTAGACCTGGTTTAGTCCTGATGTAGTAATGGTTTAGTCCTGGTTTAGACCTGGTGTAGTCCTGGTTTAGACCTGATGTAGTAATGG